TTTACAAATTAAGTTTAAAAATCAAGAAAATATATGAACATTAATCATCATCACTTAAGAAACTTTCTCACAATCTCTGCCCATGTCCAACGAGTTTACCCATTTGGACAAAACTCGTTTTCTCATTAGTCGACTTCAATTCAAAGTGTTGTTGTTCTTCATCATCTTGTTCTGTTTGATTATTCATGGTTAAACTAGAGTACTCTACCTTTTCACCATAAACACGATCGATAATCAAATATAGCATCATAACAAATATTGTATTTGTAACAAATAGCCAACTAAATTCGATGTTGACCAGCGATTTAGCTCTGTGAAGAGCTTCTTCAGTGGCACACTTAACCACTAGGTGTCTTCGTTCGTCGTGAATAGAACATCCCTTGGGGATCAAACTCGGTGTGTAAAGCATGAAACCCATTACTATGAGCCACACTCCTTGAAAGGCTATGCTTGAAGATCTCGCAACACTATCAAAGAAACTCTTGGGGAAGGCAATACCTTTTCATATTTAGGAAAATTATTAGTTACTACGTATACTATAATATGACGTTTATTTTATAAGAAGACTAGAAGTTTAAAATACTATAATTAGTAAGGTCAATACCCATGAGAGTGGTGAGAAGAGAGACGAAGATAATGAGTTGGAGGATCAAATGGTATTGTCCCTCATAGCCCATGTGATCGGTAGAGTGAAAATGGAAGAGAAGTAGCTGCTGAGTGAAGGCAGCGGCTGCAGCGAGGAGGGTTAGTCCCTCAGAAGCCGTGGCTCTAGGCTGTGCTTGATCGAGGATTAATGCGAAAACGGCATAGACCAAGAAGGARATGGAGATGGAAGAATGTTCGAAGTTGCGGAGGTGATTCGATGGGATGGTGCCATCGGAGTCAAAGGGATGGTGTCTTCTAGGTCCAATGAAGAGCTCCATGGATATGGAAGCTGATGAAGAGAACATAATTAAGTAGAGCTCTAAGTGTCTAAGCTTTGATATTGGGAACCATGGAGATGAAGTGAAGGTGTTTGGATGGAGACAAAAGCGTTTGATGTTGTTGAATAAGTGCCATAGGCCAAGTACTAAGAAGGCAAAACCAGGTAAAACATGTCCCACAAGTGATCCCATGTTGAGGGTTTTTATGTCTTAGTGATCTTTAGTTTGTGTGCTAAAGAGAGAGAAAGAGAGATTTAGATAATTTGATTGTGAACCATCGTTGAGTCGATGTGTTATGTACTTACATATGATGTTGAGGAATTGGCTTAGAGGTTAAGGGTTTTGGCCAAAAGCCATATTATTGGTTCATTGACTTTTTAGGGGGTTTAGCTTGTAAGCCTAATAAAACGCTTAACTGGCCTAACTTTATATATAAGCGATCAAATCCCTTATTGAGTTCTTGAGTTCGAAAATGAAGTATCTTTTGCCAATAGAGAACACAAAAATCAATAGAAAGATTTGTTTTATTTTTTATCGGCATCTCTAGCTAGCCAAGTTCTATGAGAGACGTAGGAATAATTATCTGTATGTTTTTTTGTCACAG